TCACACTTTTCCAGCTATATGATGGTGGTCTATAAATAATTGAGTCTGGGCCAGACAATAGAGTGATTGACATCATGAGCATCCATCCACGCAAGTGAGTGAGTGAGTGAATGAGTATGGTTTTACGCCGCTTTTAGCAATATTTCCAGCAATATCACGGCGGGGGACACCAGAAATGGGCTTCACACATTATACCCATGTAGGGAATCGAACCCGGGTCTTCGGCGTGACGAGCGAACGCTTTAACCACTAGGCTACCCGACCGCCCCCCACGCAATTGACATATGATGACATGCATCAACCAAGTCAGCAAGCCTGACTACCTGATCCCGTTAGTTTTCTCTTACGACAAGCATAGTGCATAATGCAACATGAATGCAACGTGAATGCAACAAGCAATGAAAAGATTAATACGTGAATGTCAGGGTACACTATAGACACAAGACAGATGTGAAGCAGGTAATAGACTACACCACATCATCTTTACAAAAAAAAGAAAAAAAAGAAAAAAAAGAAAAAAAGAAAGAGCCCAAACCCAGCTGATGACATAAAACTCTCGGTGCTTAATCATATTAATCCTCCATAAGTCTTATTACATGTTGCGACATACGTCACAAATTGTCAGGCGAGGTCAAATGTGGATTAATGCCGCATTGAACATTATTGCACTTACGTGGCGTTTTTGTTGTGCGTGTGTGTGTGAGTGCTCCGTTTCATCTATCTCTTTACATGGAGAACACCACCGACCTTCACTGGATGTGCTAAATTCACTTACTTCATGCAGAAGAAGTGTTTTCTAAAATACACCCTGCCTGAGGGGAAATTACAACGTATGGCTTTCAATGCAGTAACAAAATCATACCACCAGTCCTTTCCACTGCTTAATTACTATATCATAAACATCCTGTCTCGTACCACCATCTCATGGCATTTCATGATGATAACAGGATTTTTTCTTTGAGAATAATTCCATTCTGAGCACGGGGAGAAGATCATTTGAGTATCAAATCCTGGCAGCTATTTTTAGCTGTTCTGATTCCACAAGCCCAATAAACGTGTCTCTCAAGCAAGGGTTCCCACTTTTATTGCAACCATTCGATCAATGCCATGTTCAAGAAAACACACCAGCCAGATCGAAGCTCGGCTAATCATAGCGAAACTGCCTTGAATAGCAAATATGGATTTTTTATTTGGGGGTTGACCCCTCCAAGCAATGTGTCTCAGAAGCTGCCAAAGGATACCATCCTTACAGATAGTCAGTGGCTGCTCAGATGATAAATAAAAGAGAAAAGAAACATTATTTGGAAGGCTAAAATTGAACTAAAAGATTTTCTTATTGACAACAATTGTGGAAGTGTGATGCAATGGGTTGTAAGCAAAGGTCAGCAGTATTCCAGGAACATCTCTGCTGCCTGTTTAGTTATGCAAGCTAGACAAAACATTCATCAATAGCCCCAGCAATGACCTGGACCAGTTGGGTACAATGACACACAACCTTCCATGTCATGGTTAGCCAGAATTTAAATTTCAGGAGGGTCCGTTGAGTTTGGCCCTGGTATTCGAATCTAAGGACCCCCAAAATCTTTACATTTTAACATTAGGGTCATGACAAGGACGCCGTCGTTCATGCTTAATTTGACAGTTCGATTTTCATGGTGTTCCACCTCCAAGTGCTTCATCCACTGTGGCCACCCACTAAATCTCCATCTTATTAAGCCTTCATGACAATAATTGGGTCGTGAGGACCAATTCTGCCCTGGAAATGGGAATGGAGAAGGTCTTTGAAGAAAGGAAGCTGATAAATGCACCCATGTAATCAGCACCTCAAAATATGCCAGGCCGATTTGTAGCTCCCTAGCAGTACAATTCCACAGCATGTAACTAGGTTAATCATTCCCTCCTTGATTACTGTCCATAATTTAATTTGAGTTAGTTGACAAACAAGGAAGTGTCTGAACAACTTCAATTAAACTTGACAGGACTGCCAATTGCCCCAAGCCTTGTTCTTCTTTCACGGAGACGAGACTGCACCTGGTACTGGACCTACCATCTGAAACTTGTATCTACATACATAAGATAGCTACGCAATAATTCGCATAGAACAATGAAGAACGAAGCATGGTTTATTTCACGATAAAACATTATTCTATCATGGCGTCATTTCTAGAGATTTGAATATGTGCTCGCAACTTGATGACGTCATATGTTGGATGACGTTATTTCTTAGAGAGAAGTGTCCAGTTAGTTGTTTCCCATAGATGTAGCTGGGCTACGCAGATAAACAGTGGCCGAATGATCGCATCCAAAAGTGGGAGAGATATGACAATCGTCATTGGGAGAAAAGGTACAGGTAATCGGCGTGAGGATTGTGAGAATATCGGGAAATACTAAACTTAACAGACCTTTCGTAAAATGGACTTGTCCGACATTTCCGAGGTCGGATTCCATCCAGGAAGTCATCATTATTAAAATTTGAGTATATATTTTGAAAGCTTGTACATTTTATAAACATCCTTAAAGAGGCTGTACATAATGTTGATATCTCATATAAGAAATAAACAACTAATCGGGGATTATTCTCCCTGCAGTGTTTTATTGTAAGATAAAAAATCACCACGAGTTGTTTATTTCTCAAATATGTCTATCTAGAGAGGTGTGGAGAAATGGGTTTCGATGCTGCATTCAAGATTATTGCACTTCTATAGTGCAGGGTAACAACAAGTACCATCTTTTAACAGTGTTCGAGCCTGGACAGATGCTTTGTCCACTAGACCACTAAGACAGTTGTCTATATGGTTAAAACACAGCCAGACTGTTTCAACTGTAAATTATCTGCAACGAATTGACAGTTTACTAACCTACTTTCTGCAATGCAAATATTTAGTTTATGCATTATTCTGAGCACATGCAGTATGAATATACGGCCTAGTTCAAATGCAGCACAGATATCAAAGCATGACGTTAAAGGGGCACTAATCCCCGGCTCCTGCCTTGCTTTCTAACACTGCCCACTAGGGGTCACTAAGCTTCTTTGAGACGATTTGCTCACTAACGCAACTGAGTGTGACAAGAGACTGGGCTACCGTCTGTAAGGACAGCATAAATAAACTTTGAGGCAATATCTATATGCATATCTAAACACAGATTGGGTACCCGTGATCTATGAAGATTTTGATATTTTACAAATTGACTGAAAAATATGTCCATTTATTTAATAGACGGACTGAAAAAAGGGGCTCAAAAACATCACAGTAAACTAATTATGCAAGGATTAGAGGCCCAAATAATATAGAAATGTACTTTTTCGTTTTCTTTCAATCCTATCTTTTACAGTCACTGGGTGATAAAATTAACATCAAAATGTTTGGAATACATTATCATAATAAAATAAATGGACAGATTTTCAATCAAGTTGTAAAATAACTGAATATTTAGGTGCTTAATAAATTGCCAAAGTGATTATTTAGTTTGAGTTACAAGTCAAAACACCAAGTAAGTGACTTATCCATACATTTCCTTATTATTTCAAAGACAAAACTGTATTTAAATTTGTTGATCAATGGGACAATACGCCCATATACTATCAATAAAAGCGGCAAAGGTCGCGAACTAGTCAAGATAGCTGGGCTATCATCTGGGTATCCACGAGAAAAACACAATAACAAAGGCAACAACCAGTCCTGGTGAATTGTCAGAGTTAAGCACCCCTTTAAAGATCCTCACGTATAATAAATGTTGTGCATTAAATTTCTGTGCACCAAATTTGCGTTGTATTTATTTTCATTTATTTATTGATTTATTTTAACTTCCAGGCTGTATGGTAAATCTGATTACACAGTATTTGAATACATCTCAGCAAAGATCTGAAAGTTAAACACAATGGGAGTGAGTGAGTGAGTGAGTCAGTCAGTTTCACGCCACTTTTAGCAATATTCCAGCAGTATCAGGACAGGGGACACCAGACATGGGCTTCACACATTGTACCCATGTCAGGAATCGAACCCAGGTCTTCAGCGTTACGAGCAAACGCTTTGACCACAAGGCTACCCGAGTGAGTTTCGTTATAACTGTATTTCGAAATACTTTGCTTGTCAGCCGTTTGCAGTGAAACCAACAAGCACACGTATGGTGCTGATGAATCAGGAATATATATAGTGTTTGCTTGCTGTTTAATGCTCCACTAAGGAATAATCTAGCTGTATGATGTCAGCTTGTAAATAATCAAATCTGGACCAGATAATCCAGTTATTGATGTTGTGAGCAATTATCTAAGCCATCTGGGATCCATGAAGTGCAATCAACCAAGTCACTGAGGCCTTACCACATAGTCCATTTGGTCTCCTCTTACGACCAGCAAAGCTTCCTAAGGACCTATTCTATCCTGGAATGCCCACAGAGTGTCCTCTTACAATCAACATACATTCATGAGACCCTATTCTATCCCGGAGTCCCTACAGAATCTCCTCCTATGACCAGGATAGGTTCCTGAGGACCTATTCTATCCTGGACTCCCCATGGAATCTCCTCTTACGACCAGCAAAGGTTCCTGAGGACCTATTCTATCCGGGAATCCCCACGGAGTGGCCTCTTACAATCAACATACATTCATGAGACCCTATTCTATCCCGGAGTCCCTGCAGAATCTCCTCCTATGAACAGGATAGGTTCCTGAGACCCTATTCTATCCCAGAATCCCCAAGGAGTCTCCTCTTACAACCAGGATAGGTTCCTGAGACCCTATTCTATCCCAGAATCCCCAAGGAGTCTCCTCTTACAACCAGGATAGGTTCCTGAGACCCTATTCTATCCCAGAATCCCCAAGGAGTCTCCTCTTACAACCAGCAAAGGTTCCTGAGGACCTATTCTATCCTGGACTCCCCACAGAGTAAATCAGCACTGTGATAAATTTGGGGTTCGACTACTGTTCCTGGTGTGGCTCCAGGCCGAACTCTTGCAACCATTGTGGAGAGATGGTGATTTGCAAATATACAATCGCTTACCTTCATACAGAGACACAGAGAGAAAGGGAAGGTGCACGCGATAGCGATGAGGGACAGGAAGTACAAGACGTAACCGCAGCAACCAATACTTCCGCCATCCTCAGCTGCCTGGTGACCTGAAACAAAGGAAGTTAACATTAACAACTGTCAAATATTTACAACAAATTTACAAACCATGTCTGTTAGTGCAGCGAGCAGATAGAGTTAAACACTCGCACGCTGCGGTATACAATTTTGAAAACACAAAATGGTAATTTGTTTGAGGAGCTCACAACCTGAGGAGAATGAATAGTAAACTGTATCAGTTTCTGATATACTGCCGAAGAAGTCCTGCTTGTCTGCATGAGGAGAACTCCAAGAGGATTCTGGGTTAGAATAGGTCCCCCGCAACCTATGCTCGTTGTAAGAGGCAATTAAATGTATCAGGTGATCAGGCTCGGTGACAGAGTTGAAAGCATGTCCTCAAATCACAACACTCAATCTGTTATAGTGCTGAAACAGTGATGTTCACAGTGGAAGTTGATTTCAAATCTTGACAAAGAATCCGCTTTTTCCAAACCGAAGAAATCCTCAGGTGCTCCAAAACCCATCAGTTATGCAACAAATACTGACTATCTACAATCACAATCAGCATACAAATAATTACAAACATGTAAAATACCTGACACCTCCTACTAAGGTGAAAGACAATATAAATGATTGACACATTGTACAAGTTGCACCATGTCAACTATTGTCTGTTTACAGTGGATTGAAATACACCAGTGACTTGTGAACAGAAATAGTCTACGTTTCAGAGCACCCTTATATACTAATATCCCCCGAAATCAGGTGCTAGACAGGTAGATATCTATGTTCATATCAAGCAGGTAGACGTCATGAACAGAAATAGTCAGTGTTTAAGAACACCCATATATACCAATATTCCCAAACACCAGGTGCTAGACAGGTAGATATCCATGTTTATATCAAGCAGTTAGACGTCATGAACAGAAATAGTCAGTGTTTCAGAACACCCATATGTACCAATATTCCCAAACACCAGGTGCTTGACAGGTAGATATCCATGTTTATATCAAGCAGGTGAACTGTCGTGGATTGAAATAGTCAACAAAGGTATACTTTTGTTTGTACTGACAATCCAATCTACTCGAGGAAAACAGTTGTTTAGATCTAAAGAATTAGAAATTACTTCCTGCAAAACCATTTTACAACAAGGAATCAAAACAGATTGAACAACACAATAAGTGGAAATGACAGTATTCAATAACCTACCGGCATGGCATCACTGACTCTGGAGCTAAGTAAATACAAGGCTGTTCCAGCTATGTTACCACTTACTAAAAAAATTGTGACACTATCTACAGATTGCTGTGAGATAACTACCCATATCACCAGAGAAGGGTTCAACTTTGCTTGTGCTCCCATGTCCACTCATGTTGCTTGTGCTTGGGTATGCCACTTGGTGGACGCTGGATTTTGGCGACTGAGGTTTGTTATCAAGATCTTTATAATTTGCATCTATAAGCTGGTCACTACCCTGTTCATCCACCTGTTCATCCACCTGCCCTTCCTCTCCCTGATACATTGCAGTCACCTTGAAAACTTGGAAGCTTGTGGCGTGGGCCGGGGCCGGGGACGTCTAACTCTACATTGTTGCTACCACTGTTGTTAGTTTCCATGGCTCATAGAATAGGGTCACCAACACCTATATAGTATATATATTCAGTGCGTAATTGTACCACAACACTGCAGCCTGTTCAATGTATTATCCAGGTAGACACTCTGTTCATTCAGGCAGTATGTTGATCTGTGGTACGTGGTACTGTCTATAAACTACACATTTACATGGGGCAATTTCCATTCAAGTTATTCGTAACTGTCACGATTTCGAAATATCTTGGACAAACACTACTAACTTATCAAGTTATGAAGTTACGCACCTGTCAAGCCCAGGTATGTATGTGCGCATTAAAGATTTCGCAATTCAGATACACAGGTAAAAAGAAAGCTAAGAATAGAATCTACCACTGTCACTAGCATGACACATAATACAGTTTGTACAAAGCAGGTTAATCTTGCATCAAGGCGAGTCCACGTAAACAATCCTGACCTTTCTGACAAAAACTAGGCAGTGACTGATATAAGAAAACATTGTCAAGAGATAGCAGGTTGGAAAAACCTCCTATGGATAAACACCAGGCCCCAAACAGATCCTTGCGAAACACACGACCTCACCCATTGTAGACAACTTTATCAATGTCAGACTGGCATTACAGCTATTCTTAAAATAGAAGGATAACACATTTACATGAAGCGAGCACCCTTAAGGAGTTCTCATTCATTCATTCATTCATTCATTCATTCATTCATTCATGTAGTGTTCTTTCCTTTGTTCCGTTCAGAAAAGACAGCTATTGATTGCTTCAGGGAAAACAGGCTTGAAATAGTTTAGCTTCTTTGGACTGAAACAGTTTTTACATGTCAACATACGTATTATTGTTACTCAAACTTGGGGATGACAGCTAAAATACAGTTCTGGTGAAGAATGGGAGACTTTTTCTGGAATAACAGTTTGTAGTTTGCACTTTGTTTGCATCATATCTCTACTTTGCGCAAAGTACATGTAACCAATCGGGCTTGTGATAATATCGAAACTGAAACATTCCTGCCATTATTCTGCCTCTATGTACAACCTACGTACCACGTTTATCAACAGCTATTGAGTGATGTGTTACCTTGTGCTACTTCTCCATATGCAGATGTTATTGGTCTTCTTGTCGACGAAATGTAAGTATGTTGAAAAATGTATTCCATGCACAACAGAAATCTTTGCTTCATCAGAGCTTTTATTTTTTACTAGTTGGTTTACAAAATGTTTGGCCTTAAATTCAGCGTAGGTGGTTGAAAAACAATTAAGAAAAAAATTAAGAAAAAAGTTTCCAGATCCATTCTTGTATTAATGAATGAAAAACAAGTTTTCACATGGCTAGATACTGACTGATATCTGATTATTCACCATTTCACCGTTGATAAAATCTTGTGGACTGTTCATTTCACCTAACTGTTTCTGACTTATATTCAAAAGACATTTATATTTTTTTTCTAATTTCATTTTTTTGTAGGTCAGTCTTGTATACCAACTAAAAAATAATAATGACTTATTATTTAATGTCCCTGTCAGTATCATTCTAGTTACATGATGGCAACACGTAAATAACTGAGTCTTGACCAGACAATCCAGTGATGTGAGTGCACTATCCATGCTGTTGGTAATAGCACACGGGGGACTACCATCAAATACCACAAACTGTAGTAATAGTCATAATCCTGTATGCTGAGACACATCAGATGACTCGTCTGTAAGATTTCAGCATTCATATTTCTAGAAGCACCATCCTTCTCCAGTATTAGTCCCCGCAACTAATGGGCTAAGTGGCATCTTTCAGTTGATAATTCTTTACACATTGTTTTCTTGCACTTACCCCAACTGTCTCATGTTTTCTTTACAATTTTTAAAAAATGTTTTTATTGTTCCCAGAGTTGAAGATAAATACAGTATTCCGTCAAAATCATATTTCGGATAGCATAGAATGGCACAATACACACCTAAAAAAATTTAAAGGGTTGGAAACAAACATGGTCCTATTTCAAACCAAAACTGTTGCAACACACAATCAGACGCAAACATAGCATGTATCAACAGAGAGCGAAGAATGAAGCCGCCTCATGTTTAGGTTGTCAGGTGGACTGACATGTTATCACACTTAATCATTAAAGAAACAGCTCAAATTATAATTTGTCAGACCTATTTCAGTTTGTTCGTCACACCCTCAGCAATTAAAATAGTGTCTAATATCCATATACTTTAGCAACTGAAGATCTTAACATTCAAAATTTATGAGTGAATATTTGCTGTTGTTGTTTTGTTGTTTAACGCCATACTCAGCAATATTCCACCTATATGACGGCGGTCTGTAAATAATCGAGTCTGGACCAGACAATCCAGTGATTGATCCTGTTAGTCTCCTCTTACGACAAGCATAGTCGCCTTTTACGGCAAGCATTGGTTGCTGAAGACCTAGTCTACCCCGGATCTTCACCGGGCGAATATTTGCAAATCACAACTGACTAACAATTAAGTCACAATGATTTTATAATAAATCACAATGCCACGACACAGTTTATGTCTTAAATTGCATTTGTTAGATTTACACAATGCGAAGCAAGATCAGTATCTGGCTCAATTCAATACAATAGACATGTGCCTGGCATTGTTAACAGTACAGTTGACGGATCATACAGACAGCCATCTTCCCGAGGCAAGAGAGTAAACTGACTATAAAAGTCCAGTCTCCACCCTTGCAGAACTAGGCTGGTATTATGGAGTTACATTTTGGCTGGACTAACAAGTCTATGTATAGTCCAATCAAAATCGTGCACCGAAATCGAAATCAAGTTCGTAAACTCTTGTGCAGATTTCGGTCGATTGCAGGATTTGCAAAGCATGTGCACTGCCAACTCGTTGTCAGCAGATATGTTCCAAATCTTTTCATGTTTTTAATCAAGGTGCTCACGTGATTTGATGCATTTCGCGATGTAAGACCCCTTTTATCACAATATAGATCTTGATTATCGATCAGGTCGTCCTAACTGGGCGCCACCATTTTATGTGAAGCAAACGCAAGTGATACGAGAGTTGGAATCTGATTTGTCCATAGGAGAGGCATAACTGGTAATAGCCACTGGTTGCGCTAGGATCGAGCCCAGTAATTCCAGCCTAGTTCAGCAAGGGTGGAAACTGGACTTTTAAAGTCAGTTAATTCTCTTGCCTCGGGAAGATGACAGACAACTGTGTACCATGGTAAGACTGGACCATGCTGCCACACTGGCACACCAAGTAGTTGAGCTGACTGGCTATACAAAACACTTTCATACAGGGCTTCAGAAACTCATGGTAAATCTCTCTTACGAAGAGTACTTGATTCATTTGGAAAGACTATTCACAAAACAGTTTGAATGGTATTAGGTTTGTTGCAATACAAATACTTTTCCCTATTACCCGTTATAAAAAATAAACAATTTCTTTTTCAAATTACCCATTATTTAAATTTAA